AGGGCCCTCGGCCGCGTCGGGGCTGCGCGACTTGGTTAGGCTGCTGTTGGATCCCGAGGCCGCGGGGGTGGAGGAGGTGAGTCTGGGGGCCTTTGTTGCGATGGTGCCCAAACGCCAGCTTGCCGCCCTGGGAGGGAATAAGGAGTGGCTGGAGGTGGTGCTCGGGAGTGAGCACTACCAGGTCTGCAAGGATGCCCGCGCCTTACGCCTGGCTGGGATTGCTTCGCTGGGGCAGTGGGAGTCACATCGCAGCCGCGTGTCGATTTCTTCGTACTCGCAGGGTCTGCTCGAGCAAGCGTACTATACCATCACACGGAGTCCGAAACAGCAGCAAGGCAATGAGGTGCTGGAGTGGCTCTCAAAGACCATTCACCGGGCAATCGTTGAGGAACTCATGCCTTCATTATCTGGTGAGGCCCCCTCGAGGGTGTTGTCGGGTAGCCAGCAGCAGCTTGTAATGCCGCTCCTGACGGCAGCGGCCTCGATGACAGGAGTGGGGGAAGGAAAAGGAGCGAGCACGGAGGGCATGCCTCATCCCGTGGAAGAAACAGACATAGAAAAAAACACGAAAGTCGTATCGGGAACCAATGTGGAAGTGCTAAGGCCACACGAGAATGGTGACCAAGGCTCAAAACACCACAAGAAAAATAACTCCTTTTCTGGCAAGGGATTACACGAAGCTCATGAGGCAACGGAAGACGTAGCCCCGTCTACCCATCGAGGAAGGAAGAGGCACGCGAGAGCGACCCACCCAAAGATAGAGGAAGTGAAAGCAGAAAGCATAACTCAAGGTAAGGAGGACAATCGCTCTTTTGTCGAAGTAGAGGACGAGAGGGCTACGGCTGACGTTTCAAAGACAAGTCGCGCAGCAGTAACCACATCAGCTGAACCACCCATTACCGCTAATAATGAAGATAATATAGATTTACAAGAAGAAGAGGAGTATGAAGAAGTCGAAGAGGAGATCGAAGAGGAAGTTGTCGATCAGGATGCCAACGAGGTTCACGGGGAGGAGGAGGAAAAAGCCACCTCGGCGACGGCGTGCGAACCTAAAGCTGATAAGGGGGCCGATAAGAAGTTGGCACGATTAGCGGGGTTAATGCTCAGCCAATTTAGCAGCGCTGACGGTTACCTGCATCTACCTGAGAAGGAGATCCGGTCGGATGAAAAGAGCGGTTTTGTCGTGGTCATCGACGAGGACACCGCGCAGGTCGATCCGCTCGGTCTTTTCAGTGCCTACCACGCCGCCGAAGTTTCCGCGGAGAGCCCGATAGAAGTGCAGGCACTCAAACAAACCTGGTCTGCCTTTAACCACCACCAAATGGCAATGGAAGAAGCAACTGACGAGGCCACGATGAGCTTTCATCGGCAAAAAGGGATCGATGTGCTTGTACAAGGGGCGCTGCTGATGCGTTCCATCGCGCGTGAAGGCGAGGTAGGCCTGAACTACGCCTCGGCCCTTCCGTCCTATGGGTTTCCTTTACTTTCCTCCGACGCGCGCCCCTTCGGGGCGAGGCGCCCACGCAGTTCCCCCCATACGGATATGTCCTTCATGTCGGTCGACGCCGCCGGGCTGGCCTTCAAAAAGTACTTCGCGAAGAAGGAGATCCGAGCGACGCCGTTTCGGCCGAAGGTAGACTTCAATGCCGGCTGTGGGGTGGTCCAGCTCGTGGGATCCACCCTTCACCTTTATGAAACCTCCTTGAAGGATACGGTTTTGGAGGAGGAGGTGCGGCCGCGCTTTGCGGAGGCCATGTTAGGGGTGTTGAACCTCGTCCGCAGCAAAATCCTGCCCCGTTTGAGTTTGGTGGAGTACCACGTGATGGTGACGACCTTATCAACAGCAGGGGCGGGAGGGGGGTATGTCGACAACGAAATCATGCTCCCGACCACAATTGTCAGTATTGACCTCACGGGGCCCTTTACGAACCCGGAACGCGCGCGCCTCGAGGCCTTAGGGGAGCCCCTTGGCTTCAACCCCGAGGAGCTCCACGAGTTCACCTGCGTGGAGGACATCATCTCCGAGCTCGAGCACGCCGGCGTCTCCGTTGTGCACGACCTCCTGCAAAACCGCGATGATTTGGAGTCCCTGCTAACCCCGACCCTTGTGGAGCTTCTCCCGGACGAAACCCCCTCCGACGACCCCGACGCCTCGACCGCGGCCGCCGCGGAAGAAGTCGAGGCCAAAGAAGAGGAAGAGGGGGCGGAGGAGGAGGAGGAGGCCCCGGCCCCATCGCCGTTGATGGCGGG